TCGGAGTGGATTAATTTCAAATCCAGCAGACGTTAATGGCTTCAATGCGTGAAAAAAAAAAACTAACTTTCTGGTCACGAGGGTCATTATTAACTCTTCCCCATATTCCAAGACTCTTCACGCAAAGCTTTGTGTCTAATTCCTCAAAAGAATACCCTATAAAAGAGAGATGAAACATGTAATTGAATAGCTTTTCCATTATTATCTCAAACCACTTTTATTCAGATATCCTTCTATCATACATTTAACACCCATCTATATATATATATATGTGCATGGGTTTTAATATACACATACATACACACACACACACACATATCTATTACACACACACAAACACATAAAAAATATATATATATATATATATATATATATAGGTTTTTTCTTACACACACACACATATATATATTTATTTATACATACATATATATATATATATGGGTTTTAGTACATAAATAATATATATATATATATATATATATATATATATATATATATATATTTTGGTTTTAATATTAAATAGTATATATATATATATATATATATATATATATAAAAAATTATATTTATAAATATATTTATGCTATATTTATGGATAGTGTTTTATTGTCATCAGAGATAAAGCCTTAAACTTCTAAAATGAAGTCATACCGCGTTTAAAAACAGATAGTCGACAAAATGAAAAGTGTTGAAATGGAGGTTTAATATATATATATATATATATATATTTTTTTATATATAAATATTATATATATATATATATATATATATATATATATATATATATATATATATATATATATATTTAAATTTATATATATATAGGTTTTAATAAGAACACACACACACATATATATATATAGGTTTTAAATATATATATATATATATATGGGTTTTATTACAAAAAACATATATATATATATATATATATATATATATATATATATATATACTTTTAGGCCATAAATGTATATATATATATATATATATATATATATATATATATATATATATATATATTTAGTTTATAAATATATATATATATATATATATGGGTTTTTATTTATAAATATATATATATATATATATATATATATATATATATATATATATATATATATGTGTGTGTGTTGTGTTGTGTGTGTGTGTGTGTTATTTATATATTAAGACAAACAATTAAAATCTTAATATTGCTTTTTTTTTTTTTTTAATTGTTTTTAAATGTTATTACCATAGTAATTTTTATTTCAATAATGAATATACTTTAAAAAACAAAAATTTCAGAAATTGTTATTCCAAAAAAAAAATTCATTGAAGATGGAACAGAGCTTAGTACTTTAATTCATTTTAATTCAAATAATTATATTGAAGTTTTTCTTTCTTGTTTTGAAACATGAGAACTCTTTATGTAGCGATGGAATCATATTTTTAAATAAATAATTATATTTATTATTTTATTTTGTATCGAGCACTATTTTTTTTAGAAAATAATAAAAAAAATACTAAAGAACTTTGGATTATTTACCTAACGAGTTCTTTCCTATTTTCTATATAAAATTTTTTTTAACACACACACACACACACATTTAACACACACACAATACAATATATATATATATATATATATATATATATATATATAACACATATTTTCTATATTGTTTTTTTCTAAAGACAATGGATTTTATTATAGGTCATGACAGCTATTAGAGATTATTAAATATAATTTAGTGTTTTAAAAAATATTCATTGTTTAGGTAATAAGCATTATAACAACACAAATAGCTATATTGTTGGAAAAAGAAATTTTCGACAATATATATACTTTTTATCTATTTATGGTTATTTTTTTAACTTTTATCAAAAACGACATTTTTGTACATGTAGTTATGGATAATATTATACATAATTTACTATTATTAATTAATAACTATTTGTGCTCAGTTGTTGACATTAATAGCTATCTACTGATGTGTTAAAATTTTCAAATAACGCAATAAAGAAAATTTAAATTTCATCACCTTGATAGATGTCGCGATCTGTTAATAAAACAATATTGTATTGTCTTCAAACCGAACGTTAATATGCACGTAATAATGTTTCCTTTTGTCATAATCTTTTACGTTGCATCTTTGTACCATTTGTTGGTACAATGCAGGCATAAATCCTTCCAAAAAAACAGAAAAAAGTTGCTAATCTAAAAAGAATTTACAGATCATGATAGCTATTAGAGAGATGTGATTAAATATACTTTCTTTAATGTTTAAAAACATTTATTCAAGATTTATACTCGAGAAAACTTGATAAAGAATATATGTACCATTAATTTTTCTTTGGTCTACAGACCAGTAGATGAATTATATGCTGTTTAAGATAAACGGGACATCTACTTAAATATGACTATTCACTAAAAACAACATTTCAAGTACTAACCTTACGTTGGATTTAACAAATCACGTCATCTATCAGAGAGATGAAATTCAAATTTTAGTTATTGCAAAATTTTAACACATCAGCAGATAGCTATTAATGCCAACAAATGAGCACAAATAGTAATTAATTAAAAAAAATACTAATTAATGTATAATATTATCCATAACTACATGTACAAGAATGTCATTTTAGATAAAAGTTTAAAAAAATACGTAAAAATTGTTGAAAATTCCTTTTTCCACAATATCGCTATTTGTATTATGTTAATGCTTATTACCTAAAAAATAATAATACTGAATAAATTTTTAAAGAACACGGACTTTATGGAATATATATATATATATATATATATATATATATATATATATATATATATATGATATAATTATTAATTTAAAATATGATTCCAACTCATGATTTAAGAGGTCTCATGTTTCAAAAAAAAAGAAAAAACTTCAATATAATTATTTGAATTAAATTGAATTAAAGTAAGCTTCGTTCCATCTGCAAGCGAAATTTTTTTTGAATAACTTATTTCTGAAATTTACGTGTTTTAATAGTATATTCAAAAACAAAATTTCAATGGTAACAAATAACTAATTGTTCAAAATAATTAGGGTTTAAAGTATATATATATATATATATATATATATATATTATATATATATATATATATATATAAACTTCTCCAATCTGAACTACTTAAAAAAAAAAAAAAAAAAAAAAGCAGTTGCATTTTTTTGGGAGATGCAAATTTTCGAGGCAAGCCCTACCTGCAGATCTTCCTTTGAATCATTTTCAAACTTGGTTACAACATCTGGATAATATAGTTAATCACACGTTAGCCGTTTTCAATTTTTAACCTACCCAGAGGAAATGTTTACTGTCAAACAAGATATGTATCATAGCAAGAACAAAATCATATAAATATTTCTTGGTCATATTTATAGAAAAGGCCAGAGATATTTTGTCTTTGAGAGACGTCAAACTGCCAAGAACATGCCTTTGTATTATAATTTCTTTCAAAATAAAAAAAATAAAATGAAAAAAAAAAAAAAACTTTTACACAACAGTAACGTAAAGGAGGCTGTAGAGATCCATGATCAGTAACCTCTTGTAGAAATACGGAACATTTTTTGTTGCTTTTACTTTAACAGAGTTGTCCTTTGTCAAGTGTATGTTGCATCGGGTGGTTTTTAATTGTTTAATAGGTAAATGAAATAATCAGGCAAGACAAGAAAAACACATCAATTTTTATCAGCTAATCCGAGCAGTAGAAGATAAATCTCTGGTGTTCTTGGTGAGGAAAAAAAAACAGTAGCAATATCTTATGACTATCAGATGCAGGATGCATTTGAGGTAGGCTGAAAAACGCAACAGTCAAATTGTGATAAAAACAACAAAAATAAGGACAACAGTTTGAAAACTGTGTAATCTTACTTATTATAAAACGCAGATTGTGTGTGTGTGTGTGTCTGTACGTTTATATATTGGATCGGATTTCCTACATTTTTCAACCGATTTCAACAAAACTTCACAGGACTACGTAAAATTACCTTGCGGTGGTTCTAATAGCGCCCAAAATTGAAAAAAACAATTGTTTTTTGCACGAAATCAATTTGAAAACATGATTTAGAGGCATTCGAGAATGAAAAGGACAACTCATATCGAGTTATACTTATTATAAAACCCATGTGTGTGTTCGTTTATATATGGGATCGGATTTTTACATTTTCAATCGATTTCAACAAAACTTAATTTTTTTTTTTTTGGCAGGTAGTGTTTCTTGTTGTCTTGTACATTTTTTTCTTTATTTTTACATTCAGAAATGCTTTAAAAAAACCATTTAAAGACAATTGTTTATAATAAAATTCCATTTAATCGGTAGACTCATAACGATTGAAAACAATGTTTTTGTTTGAGTTTGGGTTTGACCAATTCGTAAAAAAAAAAAAAAACTAATTAAGACATGCGTGTCCGTCAACTTTAAACAATAATCTTTGTCAATTTTATTTTTCAGTCTTTATGATGGTCGATACTTGATCTATCTCTTACTGTTACATCCCCGGGCAACGCCGGGCTCTTCTGCTAGTAACAAATATATACATCATTTTACAGAGTAACCATCAAGAACCTTTCATTTATAAATGGTAAAAAAAAAATTAATGACAGTTAACCAGTGACTTTTGAGTTGCATTCAGTTTTGTAACATTCTTCACAGCCTTTTCCCCATAGACTAAAAGTTGAAAGTCTATCGTCGTTTCCATGTCAAGTGTTCAGATGGACACCATTCTTTAGTTCTAACAGTTCAGAGTTTTACAGCTAAGACCTGGCATGCCACATGCACAGGGTCGTATCATCCCCTCCTGTGCCGTTGGTAAGAAGAAAGTTTGACGCAGACAGTTCCTCCGACTTTGTGGAACAAACTCCCAAGTGGATGCACTTCCAAACACTACAATAAACCCCCACTTATGTCAAGGGTTAATTGTTATTAACCATCTAATTATTGCCAGTAACCATCTAATCTATTTTTTTTTGGCTCACGAGCCTGTTTAATTAGAAATTTTTCAAAAATACAAAAGTAAAAGGGAGAGAAATATGGAAAAAAAAAGAAAGAATAGAGAAAGAGAAAAAGATGAGATAGATAAAGAGATATGCTTTAGAAAAAACAAAAGAAGAAAGAAAGAAAAAAAAAAGAAGAGAGAAAAGAAAATTGAGGAAGAAACAAGAGAAGAGAAAAAGGAGCAAGAGAAATTTAAAAAAAAGATGAAAAAAAAAAGAAAAAAAAGAAAAAAAAAGAGAAGAAAAAGAGAAAAGAAAAGGAGAGAGAGACAAAAAAGAAAAGAAAAGAAAGAAAGAGAGAAAAAGAAAAAGAAGAGAGAGAGAGAGAAAGAAAACAAAGAAGAGAGAGAAAAAGAAAAAGAGAGAAAAAACAGAGGAAAGAGAGAGAAAAAGAAAAGAATAGAGAGAAAAAAGAAAAGAAAGAAAGAGAGAGAGAGATAGAAAAACGAAAGAGAGCAAGAAAGAGAGAAAAAAGAAGAGAGAGAGAAAGAAAACAGAGAGAGAAAAAAGAAAAAGAGAAAAATGAAAAGAGAGAGAAAAAAGAAAAGAAAGTAGAAAGAGAGAAAAGGAGAAAAAGAAAGAGAGATAATTATTCTAAGAGAGAGAAAAGAAAAGAGCAAGAAAGAGAGAGAAAAGAAGAAAAGAAAGTAAAAAAAAAGAAAAATATAAAAAGATAGAAAAGAAAAGAGAGAGAGAAAGAAAACAAAGATGAGAGAGAAAAAGAAAAAGAGAGAAAAAAGAAAAGAAAGAGAGAAAAAGAAAAAAGAGAGAGAAAAAAGAAAAGAAAGAAAGAAAGAGAGAGAGAGAGAGAGAGAGAGAGAGGAAAAGAAAGAATAATGTTCAGTTTGTAGAAATATATTGACTAAACCTTTTTTTTTTCTTGTCAACAGGGAAAAAATTATGTACTTATTTACTGATTATGAACCTACTGGATGAAAATGCTAATTTAAGATTTAGGGTCATTAAAATTATTCAAATGTTAATTTTAACGTTGCATTCAAGGTATTGTTCTTCAGTAATAAGAAAAGAAATGATGGAAGGCAGAAGGGTTAAAAAAAAAAAAACAGTTCAACAATGGTCAATAAGGAATGTTCGTCTTGCGGCTCTCAAGCATCTGAAATTTATCATACAAGACTCTGACATGAAGTTGTATTAGAACGCATACTGAGAATAACATGGACAGAACATGTGCCTAATGAAAAAGTTGAAAGAAAGAAACTACAAGGAAACTGATTCTTTCAATTCGAAAGTGACAGATGAAATTTCTGGAGCACCTAATGAGAAAAACAATTTGAGGAACATATACTTTGGTTAAAAGAAGGCAAGCGAAATGGGGAAACACTGAGTAACATATTTAACGAGTGAAAAAAAGGAAGGAAAAATTATTATTGGTTGATTGATATATACCGTTGTTAATATATATATATATATATATATATATATATATATATATATATATATATATATATATATATATATATATATATATATATATGCAATTAACTCAAATATGTTTTTATTTTGCTCATCGCTAAAACAGTTATGACGGAATAGTGAGTTCGATTCTCACTGGATTCCCCATAATTTCGGCCTTGTACCACATCTAAGCTACGTTAAGAAAATCAATATATATATATATATATATATATATATATATATATATATTGTCCCTCGCAGACAGTACTGTTTCGCAGCTCTCAACTGAGATTAGACATCCGAATGCATCAAGCCAGGATTGAAACCCAACCGATTTGGTGTCAGTCAGAATTTTACCACTGAGCTATCTTCATTCGGTAGAATTAATCTAGCATGTTGTTTTTTACGAACGTAAACAAATGCCAAACAGTCGGAGTGCTCTATTCATTTTACTGAAGAGCTTTTGCATATATATATATATATATATGTGTATATATATGTGTGTGTGTATGTGTGTGTGTGTGTGTGTGTGTGTGTGTGTCTAAAAATATATATAAATATAAATAAATATATATATGTATAATTATTTATATATTATATAACTTTTGTATTTTAGGTTGGATAGATGTGAGTTTGTGACCCTGGGTTTCACGCTTTAAAATATCGTCAGACAAACTGATTAATGTTTTTAAAAAAATTGGGTTTATGTAGATTGCGTGTATTGGTGTTATTGTTTTAGTGGTGGGGAAACTTCGTCGTTTTGTCATTCATCGTACTAATGCAAAAAATCGATGTATGCAGACACATATATATATATATCGACCAAGTATGTATATGTTCTGCATAAATCATTTTTATTTACTTAAAGAAATCAGAAATGCTATTCTATTCATATTGGGATGAAAATATAATAGCGTTTTTCTAAAAATAAAGGGTTGATAAAAAATTGTTTGTTGTTAATAATTGTTTTTCATTTCAATAAATTCCTTTTGTTTTACTTTGAAAAAAGAATAGATTTTTGGACAAAAATGCATCGGTTAATAATGAAGTTTTCCTATTGTATTTTACCTTTATACAAAATCTTGTAGATGTAAACAACCCCCAAAATTTTATTTTACATAATAAGACTTGTAATGTTTTATTTTTCCTTATATTTTTGAAATCAGTTTAATTTCTCTTAGGAACTGAAATATTTAAAATGAATCAGTATTTTGAAAATGTTATTTTAAGATTTTTGTTTGAGAGCATTTTAAGCAGATTAAATTAAAATTGCTGGTTTGTTTTATGAAATTTATGACCCATTGGGTCATTTAATGCTGAAATTTAATATTTTCCTAAATAAAATCTTGTATTTAAACAGTCAAAAAAATTACAGTATTTTAAGCAGATTGAATTAAAATTGCTGCAGTTTGTCAGTCAGTGTTTTATGATAAATGGCTCTTGGCATGCCACACAGACCGGAGGCTCTTCATTTTTTAGGATATATGAATCGGTACTTTTCTATTGTTGTTTGATTAGAAAAGGCATTAGTTGTTATAAAAGTGACATTCTTAGATTTATCTTTGGCAGAATTTTGTAAAAAAAATATCAACAAAAGTACAGCCTTGATTTATTTCCTGATTGATCCTTACATATGAGTCAATTATGTCTCAAAAAAAAAAAAAAAAAAAAAAAAAGTTTCTATCTAACCTAACAT